AGGTCTGTGGTGTCAGATTTGGGGGAAGGGTTCCCCATCCCTGAGTCTGAGCGGAGGGCTGGCAGCAAACCCTGGCCTCCGGGCAGCTGACCTGGTGCCACAGGCAGGGGCTCAGCTTCCTCCCAGGGACTTGGGGTCACACAGTGAGTGGGTGGGATTGGTCTTGAGTTGATGGTGGAGGGAACTGAGGAGAAAGGGAAAGTGAAGAGGGGATGACATGCTGAGAAGCCATTTATTCAGACAGGATTCTGTCTCCATGTAAACTCTGTCAGTCTTCCCACCACCCCTAGTGTAGGTGTCCTGGTCTTTCTACACAATTACCTTTATGCTATGGGTGCTCTGGGCAACTGCCCGAGCTGGCCGTTGGCACAGTCCCCCTGGGATCGAGCTGATCTAACTCGGAAGCCTGTGCCCTTTCCATGATGAGCCTCCCTTTCTGGGGTTGGAGGGGTTGGTCTCTGGGACCACACTGAGTGGGGGAAGGTCTGTGCCAGGGAGGAGGGGTGAGTGCGAGCCTGTGGAGCGAGGACGCTGGTTCCGTGCTTTCCGTCATTGCTCCCTGGACTCTCTGGCCTGTGGACCCTGGTCTCTGAGGTTCCGGATTCCCTGGGAAATGGGATCTCAGGGGAGGGCGTCCTGACCGCTCTGAGGCAGGGCCTGGATGTGAGATCTCAGACTGCGGGCCCAACTGGTGTCAGGCTCAGGCGGGATCCAGGCCCCAGGGCGTCCAGGAGACCCTGTCCCCTCCCTCTAGGCGGGCAGTTTCTATGGCCTTGGCAGGGGCGGGGAGGGGGTGGAGGAGCCTCCTGAGGGTCCGGGCCGGGGCGCAGGGTGGGGCTAAGGCTGGGTCCGGTGGGGCTGCAAGTCTGTCCCCAGGCGCACCAGCCGCTCTGCCTGGGGGCTGAGGCCTGAAGGGCGGCTCCCTGTAGGGAACTTCGTGCTCCAGTTTAAGGGCCTCTGCTACTTCACCAATGGGACGCAGCACGTGCGGGGTGTGGCCAGATACCTCTACAACCTGGAGGAGCAGGTGCGCTATGACAGCGACGTGGGGGAGTTCCGCGCCCTGACCCCGCTGGGGCAGCTCCTCGCTGAGAACTGGAACGGCCAGAAGGAGCTCATGGAGCGGGAGCGGGCCTATGTGGACACAGTGTGCAGACACAACTACCAGCTTGAGGCCCTCACTACCCTCCAGTGGCGAGGTGAGTGCCCACTCACACCCCCTCAGCAGGGAAGTATCTCCACGTGGGAGGGGCGGCTCTGCAACCACAGCTGGGCTTTGTTGGGGAGAGGAGGGGAAGCCAAGGGCGAGATGGAGGCTGCGGGACCAACGGGGGACCTAAGAGGGGCTGAGAGGGATTGAAGGGGACCTAGGACAGGGACCTGGATCGGGACCCAGGGGGACCAGGAACTGGACGGGGGGCGGCACGGGGGGCGGCACGGGGGGCGGAGGGCGGCACCTGCACAGACCCCGCAGCCCGCCAAGTCCCTGAGAGCCCGCAAGGCCTGTTTCTCTTTCCACCCATTCAGTACCCCCAGCCGACCCCCCCACCCCAACTCCTGCTCAGGTGTTTACCTCCTGTCCCTCACTTTGCGGGAGCTGCCCCGTGCCTCATGTCCCTGTGCCTGGTGTCCCTGTGTCACCGTGTCCCCCGCCCCTGCGCTGCTGTGAGCCCCTAGCAGGCCTGCCTCCAGTTTAACCACCTGGTGGGGTGGGCAGCTCCAGGGCCCTGTGCTCATGTGCACACGTGCGATATATCACAGTCGTGACCAAGTGTTTTGACTCTTGGGCCTGAATTCTGTTTCCTAAATGTCTGTCACTAGTCCTGCACCTCTTTTAGCAGCGACTGTCAGGTACGTTTCTGGGCCTCTGCCTACACATGCCCTGGCCAGTGAGCTCACTCAGCCTTTCTGAGACGAATGAGTAAATTCTCAGCTGCCACCACTGAGGCTCAGTAGAAAACAGAAGGGCAAGTAGAGCCTTAAAACTGACTTTATTATTTGTGCTATTTTGCTTAATACCATAAACTCTTGTTGACTTGGGGGTCTTAATAATTCAGAATTTGTGAATGCAAAGTCTGAGAAAAAAGTGTTTGCTAAACAGCAAAACAACACTTTAATGGTGTAAGGCAGAATTTTAATTTCTTAGAAAGCTCAACAAATGGCGCAATAGTTTTGAAGTAAATAAATTGATGCTATTAAATTATTGAATAAAAATTGTTTCAGGGTCTCATTTTATCTACAGCCTGCCTACTTCTCTTCCCCTGTCTCCCGTCTCCCCAGAATCCACTTCACGGGTAGATATTTTAATTGAATTTTGTTGCGGTGACTTTGGTTAATAAAATTATATAGGTTTCAGGTGTACAATTCTACGATGCACCATCTGTATATTGTATTGTGTGTTTACCACCACAAGTCAAGACTCCTTCCATCACCATTTATTTCCCCTTTATCGTCATCTCCTTCCTCCCCAACCCCCTTTCCCTCTGGTAATGACCATACTGTTGTCTGTGTCTATGAATTTTTTGTTTTTATTTGTTTTTTGCTTAATCCTTCACCTTTTTCATCCAGTCCCTCAACCCCCCTCCCATCTGACAGCTATCAATTTGTTCTGTTTCTTTGTTTTGTTTTGTTAGTTTATTCTGTTCATTAGATTCCACATATAAGTGAGATCGTATGTCTTTCTCCGACTGGCTTATTTCATTTAGCATAATATTATTCAGGTCCATCCATTGTATCAAAGAGTAAGAGTTCCTTCTTTTTTAAAAAAATATATTTTATTGATATTTACAGAGAGGAAGGGAGAAGGATAGTTGGAAACATCGGTCAGCTGGCTCCTGCACACCTCCCACTGAGGATGTACATGCCCCTTGACTGGGAATCCCACCTGGGACCCTTTCAGTCCGAAGGCCGACGCTCTATCCCCTTGAGCCAAACCAGTTAGGGCAAAGGGTCCTTTCTTTTTTAACCAGCAATAGCAATGGGGAAAATGAAACCACAGAATTTTTTTTTACCCACTTCCCTTACTTACCAA